AACTTGCGGCCTTTTGAAATCCCTCCTGTCCTCAAAGATGTAAACTACCTCTGGTGGCGTTGTCCTTACCTGTGCGATGGAAGGTGGCGAAGATGAAAGGGCCCTTGTCCGCGGAGCGCTCCAGGTCGCCGATGGCGGCGCGGGCCCGCTGCAGGGCCGCCGCGCTGCCCGTGTCCAGGACGACGCCCACGGCGCCGGGCGCGTCCGCGGCGCGGTGCTCCAGGAAGGCGCGCAGGGCGTCGCTCGGCTGCACCAGGTCCCAGATGGGCTTGTCCCCGGTGACCACGTCTGCCAGCACACAAGCAGCCGTCTGTGACACTCGGTACCCCGCGGTCGCGGTCGACCCTTAGCTCGTCGCGGTGCTCGAGACTCACCCGCTGTCCCCGCGGCGGCGTGGGCCGCGGCCACCAGCAGCAGCAGCAGCAGCACGGTCGCGGCGTTGTCCATGTCCTGTCTCTGGCTCGGACCACGGAGCTAGTGTGAATGATCGGCCGACCCGGAGGGACTCTGCCTTTGAGCGCCGCGTAATCAGGGCCGCCTTTAGAGGGAGCCGCCCTGATAACCTGTTCCGGTGCGGCGCGCCTCTTGTACGCGCCTGCTCCACCTGCTCCGCCGCGACATCCGCGATTCCGGTGAACGCGGTCGGCAGCGGGGGAGGCGCGCGAGGGTGCGGCCGGTAGAGTGCGCGATGAGTCCGCCAGCGCGTAAGTCAAGGGGTACTTCTCCATAACTTAAAGCGTAGACCAATTTTTCTGTATGTCTTGTTTCTCATTGTTTTTTCTTCCCGGATTTTTTGGGAGGGCGTACTACACTGCTTTCTTTCTTTGAAGAAGCAAGGGGCAGGCGTGATCTAGAAGATCACGTTCGCGAGATCGGCCAACTCTTGGTGTGGCGTTCGAGTCGTTTGAGAGGCGCGGCGTCCCGTGTGGCCATATGTGCCGTGTGTAAAGAGGGCCGAGGTCGAGGGCACCGCAGCTCAGGGCAAATGATGGCGTTTTGGGTGGGACCCTTCCTGGCTGAGGCGCGCTGCCGGCTGAGGTCACCTGAACCCTCTGGGCGCGGCGGGAAGGCCAGACCAAGCGTTGTGTCATCCGATTCCAAACAGGGACCCCCCCCCCTCCCTCTCCCTCCCCTTTCCCTCCCGGGGCTGCGGCTCCACTTCCCTTCCTCTCATTTCGCGAGAAAGTGTAATTGACATTAGATTACCACTTGAGCGCGATGTCGAGTGACACATTCTCTTCTGGTCGAATACCGTTATCTGCAGGTGCTTGATGAGTAACCTCGTCTGTTAATTGTTGTCTACCATCTCGCTGATGGAAGCGTATATTCGATGTGGGCTTGGCTGTTTGTTAATTGATCCCTGCCCTTACTGCCACAGGAAGTTATTTATTGATTTTGTATGTTGTTGCAGATGTCGAGGACCTGTCGGCGGGCTCCGCCAGCGTGCTTCCGGCTTTCTCCGGTGACGCTCCAACCCTCGCTCCCGCTCCGGGGCCGGAGCCACAGCCACAGACCACCGGATCTTCCGGCGGGGGTTTCGTCTCTTCCTTCGGCAGCTTCACCTCCGCGTTGTTCGGCTCCCTCCCCTCTGCCGAACGTACGCCTTCTCCCGGACCTTGGGGACCTCCAGGACCTTCGGGACCTCCAGGACCTTCGGGACCTCCAGGACCTTCGGGACCTCCAGGACCTCCAGGATCTTCAGGACATCCAGAACCTCCAAGACCTCCAAGACCTTCAAGACATCCAACACCTTCAGGACCTTTGGGGCCTCCGGCACCGCTAGGACCTCTTCCAGCAGAAATCCAGGCTGTACCGCAGGGGCTCCAGGCAGCGGTTCCCGGACTCTCCGATGACACGTTCCAGCCAGTATCGCTCGAGCCGGCCACCGGGCCGACGCCCACCTTCTACAACCTGAACCTGCCCCTGAGCTCGCCGCTGAGCCAGCCGGCGCCGGTCGCCTCGCATGGCCTGGCCGCGTCAAACACCCCTCCTCCCGCCACCTTCGTGAACCAGTGGGGTGGCGGGCGCCCCTTCCAGGTGCAGCCCTCGGACTTGTACCTCACCGAGTCGCGGCCCAGAGACTCGGGCCCTGGCCAGCCCTCAAGCCAGCCCTCGCCGGCCGCCAGCCCCTTCCAGTCACCCGCGGGCCCACTGCCCCCGGTGCCCACCTTCGAGTCGCCCTCGGACACACCGTTCGCAACGCCGACGGGGCCTCCGCCTCTGACGACCCCCACGGCCTTTGGTACGCCCCCGCCCGTGAGCTCGCACTTCGCGCCGCCCCCCGTGCCCGCCGGTGTGTTTGGTGGCCCCGGCCCGTTCGCCACCGCCTCCAGCCTCTTCGGATCGCCGGCGCCACCACCAGGACCGCCCTCCAGGCCCCCGTCGGGCCTCCCAGGCCTCCCCGTCGGCCCGCCCGGCCCGCCCGGCCCGCCCACCCTCGCGGGCTCGGGTCCGCCTCCAGCAGGTGAGCATCACAATGCGTACTTTGGGGTCGTCCAGAAAGTACGTCTGTTCTCCTCAGATTCATTCGGCAAATCACAGGAGCTCCGCGCCTGCGAGACTCGAGTTAGGCCATCCCGCAATACATGCATGCGCTGTTGGCAAGATGCTGCCTACCCATCAGGCGCTAGAGAGCGGGCATTGGCCAAACTTGGCAGTTCGTTCTTTTTGGATCATCCCCTTGACGACGAGTTTCAGTTTGATGGTCGCAATTGATTTAATATATTCTTTTCTGGTCACGCCTTGCCTTGCAGCCAGCGCAGCGGGCGGCAACGCCTTCAGGCTCGGCGGCCGCCGTCCAGTGTACGCCCCGGTGCCCGGGCTGGAGACCTCGGCGCAGGCCCCCACCCCGCTCGGGTCTCCCCCGGGGCCTGCCTTCGGGTCTGCCCTCGGGCCTGCCCCAGCCCCCATCGTCATGGCCCCGACCGCGCCCCCCACGGTGGACGCGCCCGCCACCCCGACGGGCCTGGGTGGGCTCGGTGGCCTCCCGTCCGACCCGTTCAACAACGCAAGCTACTATGAGGTGCGTACCCTGCACGCCGCACAACACGACAACACACTCCACTATTCTTGCCATTTTGCATTCCCTTTTCAATGCCCCATTGTTGGGTTTGCTGCTAAGTGATGTTGGCCTAAATATTTCTCTATTGTGCTTTCCAGCCACAAGTTACTATGACCCATGATCCCACACCTCCACCAATCTACCGATCGGTCTATCAACACTGGTTCTTTAAGAAAGAGGTGGAAAGCAAAGTAATATGGCAGCCCTTCTCAATGTCAGATTCACTTGCTCTTGAACAGCAATTTCTTTCACGTGAGTGTTCCCTATATTTTTGAAAAGTATTTATTCTAATATTGTTGTTATGCATAATTAAATTTTTCCCAATTTGATTTCACAGCTGATCTGACAATAGACACAGAAGTACCCACTGATGGTGGTCGTTATGATGTGAATATTTTAAGAAGACAACGGAATGCTGTCTATTGGGAAGAAGCACCCACTGAAGTTAGACGTTGCTCATGGTTTTACAAAAACAATGCTGATAAGCGTTATGTGCCTTATGATGAAAATGTAGCCACTAGATTAGAGGTAAGTTATTGCAGGGACTAATTCTAAAATCTCACATAGTTTGTGATTTCTTATAATGTTTCATTTCTATTATTAAGGAGGAGTACAAGTTATCATACACCCAGAATGAATGGCAGAGAAGGGTGGAATTTTCAAATGGTGAAGCTGTTGTTTTCCACAGTGCCAATGCTATGGTTCATTATTTAAGCAGTGCCTCTCCAGATGCGTGGGGTAACACACCGGTGAGCCCCAACACGTATGCAGATGTATGTAGTGCTTAGCTTTCTGCCATTTATACTCTTCCATTTAATGTTATTGCCTTTTTTATACTTCATCAGGCATCTTGAAAGGAGCTCTGCTGCTTTGCTGACGTTTTGTAGATGAGCTAAGCATTGACGATTTTTCCTTGAAAATGCTTTGCACATTTGTAGAATTGTTGCAGTGAGTGGCAGTGACATGAAAATCTAACTTTAAAATCTACTTAGTATTATTTTTCCTTTGTAGGGCACACAGCACAGACCAAGAGTTGTAAAAAGAGGTGTCGATGAGTTTGACATTGATACTGGAGAGTCTGAGACTGTAGATCATCTATTGTTTCTAGTTCACGGCATTGGTTCAGCATGTGATTTACAATTCAGATCAGTTGTCGAAGTTGGTGAGTAATGAATGATTTGTATTTGTTCTCTTTGTTTATGGTACACTTACTTACAAATGTTCATCTTGCAACCTTGGATCATACTTTGCTGTTCTGTTACAGTTGACGATTTCCGTGCTGTTTCTCAAGGCCTTGTTGAGTCTCATTTTTCGAGTTCTGTAGAAAGTGGTGCAGTGAGACGAGTTGAGGTCTTACCTGTTTCATGGCATGAAAAATTACACAGTGAAGATATTAACAACCAATTAAAGTCCATAACACTTCCAAGTATACCAATGCTACGTCACTTGACCAATGACACCCTCATTGACATTTTATTTTACACTAGTCCAATTTATTGTCAGGTATTACAATTT